GAAGGTCAGAATATTATAGGACAAGATATTATTTCGCTCTTGGTTAGACTGCTAGGATCTGCTGAGCTTGGGACTTCTCTTTGCTGATGGGAGGAGAGGGAAATACTGGGCCTGCAGGTGCCATCAGTGTAGGTGGAGAATCTGCCTGCTGTTTCCCGGTGTGGCGTTAGGGATGGGTCAGCCTCCTGAGTTCTGCTGCTGCCATTTCTGCGGATATGTAGACCAACTCGCTGCTGTTAGCACATGTGTGGCCTGGTGTGTGTTGGCCTTCCTGGGTTCTACTGTGGGCAAATCAGGCCTACTGCTGCTGGCAGGTGTGAGGCATGGGCTGGGTTTGGCTCTCCGATGTTCTGTTATTGCTGCTATAGAAATGGGTAGGGCATTGGGTTGGCTCCCAAACTCTACTGGTTAGCCAGCTGCTGCCACTAGATATGAATCATCCCACTAAGTCTGCTGACCTGTTACTTTCTTAGTCCTTTGGCCAAAAAGAGTGACTTTCCTTATCTATTCACTAGTTTATTTTCTGTCTATGCCTTTTGGAAGTTTTGGCTTGCAGGACTCTCAAACACCCAATTCAGATGAATGGTAGATAAAATGAAAACCCAAGAAACTCACTGCAGTGCCATTCTTTAAGTTCTGAGGGCCCCTATTTTAAAGTCCTTGTATAATTGTTGAATTATTTCCAGGCTATTTTGTAGTACTTAGAGGAGTAGGGGAAAGTGAGACTATAGCATTTTATCCTAGAACCCACAACTGTATTTTAATGGGCCTTTACACAATATTAAAGGACTCGAGATGTCAACTTATATTTCCTTCTTACATTTTTTTTTGAGTCAGTCTCACTCTGTCTTCCAGGCTGGAGTGGAGTGGCACACTCACAGCCACTGTAGCCTTAACCTGCTGGGCTTACCTTCCGAGTAGCTGGAACTACAGACATGCACCACCATGCCTGACTAATTTTTTGATTTATTGTAGAGATGGGGTCTCAGCATGTTGCTCAGGCTGGTCTCAAAACCCTGAGCTCAGTTAATCCTCTTGCTTCCACCTCCCAAAGTGCTGAGATTACAGGCGTGAGCCACCGTGCCCAGCTTACATTTTCAATATCTATTTATTGAGCCCCTATAATGTTCTAGCCACTGTCCCAAGTTCTAGAGATCCAGTGATGTATAAGATGGATAAAGTTCCTATTCTTTGGAAATTACATTCTAATGAAGGAAGAAAAAATTGCAAACAAGTAAAGTCTGTGTGCTATCTAAGGGCTGGGGGATACTTTTAAAGCAAATTCAGAAAATCTAAATGGCAAATAAGAGACATATTTAGTCACTCCAATATCTATTTAAATTTGTGGAGAAGATTGCTATTGATAGTTTATCCCAAACAACTTTTAAACAGCTTTCTCTTCCACTTGTGTGAAATAAAAGCAACTTCAAAAAATTAGAATAACAATAACGTTTACTAAAAATTTGTTGCAAGTAAGCAGCATCTAGTTCAAAAATAAATACATTTGCTTAAAATATGAATAAGATTTGTAAAAGAGGAAATACTATAGAGTATTTTGTGGGAAATCTGAGTTGCAATCTCTGTCATTTACCAGGTGTATAACCTTGAGCAAATCATTTAACCTCTCTAAGCCTTGGCTTATTAATCTATAAAATGAGATTAAACTAGATTATCTCTATGGTTCCTCTAGACTTTTAAATTTTGTCACATAAACTCTTGCAACTAGTTACAGAGTATATGCTCTCAACTATTTTTCACACTCATCCAATTATCTGTTCTTTACAAAGGTGAAACTGAGAGAATGCACATCAACACTTTATTCCTAGGTCTCAAACCTGCACCAGAGTCTTTGAGTAATCTATCTTGTTTATACTCACATACACCTGTACCTATATAGATATAAAAACTTTCTAGAATTCCCATGAAATTGTTAACAATAGCATAAACTGTATACTTTACCTTATCAGATTTGTATTACTTTTATGTTAAGGATATACATAAATTGTGTAAAGCTTACTTTGGGAGGCAGAGGTGAGAGGATTGCCTGAGTCCAGGGGTTCAAGACCAGGCTGGGCAACTTGGCAAGACCTTGTCTCTACAATAAATCAAAAAATCAGCCGGGTGTGGTAGCGCGCGTCTGTGGTTCCAGCTACTTGGAAGGCTGAGGCAGAAGGATCACCTAAGCCCAGCAGGTGGCTGTGAGCATGCTACTACAATCCAGCCTGGGTGACAGTGAGACTCCAACTCAAAAAAAACAAAAAAAGAAAGCTTTCAATATCTGACCATAATATCAAATGTAGATATCAAGTTCTAAATCTGAAGGTAATTGATGGCTATTTATAAGAATGTTACTTGGAGGATTATTGCCATAACACAAATTTAAAAGTCATTGATGATGCTCAGTCTTCGTAATTAAAGTATAATTAATTAAATCTCCACAAAGTGGCTTGGTATAATACTAAAGCTCTGATTTCAAGCAATCATAAAAATAAGCTATTTGTCAAGGAAAATTCCTGGTCCTAAAAGCTATTGCTTTGTGCTTCTTTTAATCAGTCAGAAATCTCCAATTAATAATATTGTATTTAAAATGACAAATGAAAATTTTAAACTAATAATACAGTATAGTATTCAATTTAATATCTTCATAAAATAATTTTTATCATACTTTAATAGATAAGGTAATTGTCAAAATAAAAATATCTGAATTATAAATAAAAAAGAATAATATGTATTTGTCTCTTTCTTACTCATTTTTTAGGTTAGTAATATTTTAATCAAAAGACTAAAACTTTTTATTACTAAAAATTAAACACAGCATCTAAAACCTTTTAACCTTCAATTCATAACATTGCATGAGAAATTTCATATTGAATAGGATTGTGTTCCATTCAACTTGATACTTTATGAAGGCAGTATCAAGAGGTTTTTAGAGAAAACAATAGATGCCTCAAAGTTGGCAAAGGATAGACAACATACCTGACTTTCTTTAATGATTAACTAATTATGGTATTATTCATCTAATTATGGTTTGAATGATTTTTGCATAGAAGCTCAATCAATTTTTTTTTTTTTTTTGAGTTGGAGTCTTACTCTGTCGCTTAGACTGGAGTGCAGAGACTGCTCCTGGCTACCGCAGCCTCAACCTGCTGGGCTCCAGCGATCCTTCCGCCTCAGCCTTCCAAGTAGCTGGAACTACAGGCGCGCGCCACCATGACCGGCTAATTTTTGATTTATTGTAGAGATGAGGTCTCGCCAAGTTGCCCAGGCGGGTCTCGAACCCGCTGGCTCAGGCAATCCACACACCTCAGCCTCCCAAAGGCGCGGTATTACAGGCTGAGCCACTGAGCCCGGCAACTCAATCAATATTTTAAAAATCCTAGCTAGGTGACCATGGCAAATTATTTAACCTCTCTGGAGCTTTGGCTTCCTCATCTATGAAATTAAAACAGTAAGTAACCTACCTCATAGTTTGGAAGATTAAATTACATAATGCCTGTAAAGAACTTGGCACATTTCTTAGCACTTAATATATGTTCAATAAATGTTAGCTATGGCTATCCATATTGTGAATATTCTTTCAGCTGAATCTGATAATCAAGGCAGTTTATTTACTAGTCCATAATCCCTCACTAATCTACTCTGGAAAGTGTTCATGATAGGAAATTATAATGAATTATAATACTGAACACATTATATATGTGAATGCTGAATTTTACTACTGACAATAGAAAAAAATTTCATTGTATTTGATAAAATTTGTTATGTATATCATGCCCCTTGAAAACATAAATGAGTACAGTATTTAAAAATTTTAAATTTGATTTAATGTATATGAATTTAAGGGCAGAAAAATTTATGTAATTGGCATCTTCATCTATAAAGACACAAAAGCATCATCACTGTACACCATAGTTGCATTAGCAATCTGCTAAGAAAATAATCTGCTCTACTTTATTATAACATCCTGAAAATATCATTTATCTTCACTGTTTCTTTTCTTTTTCTTTGAGTTGAATTCTCACTCTGTCACTCAGACTGGGGTGCAGTGGCCGCTCCCCGCCACCGCAGCCTCGACCTGCTGGGCTCCAGCGATCCTTCCGTCTCAGCCTTCCAAGTAGCTAGAACTACAGGCGCGCACTACCACGTGTGGCTAATTTTTTGATTTATTGTAGAGATGAGGTCTCGCCAAATTGCCCAGGCGGGTCTCGAACCCGCAGGCTCAGGCAATCCACTCACCTCAGCCTCCCAAAGGCGCGGGATTACAGGCTGAACCACCGAGCCTGGTTTTCACTGTTTCTTGAGATTGGCAGGGGAATAAATAAAAATGTCAGAAGAGAGAATGATAATTTAAGAACCTAAAGCAACTTTTTGAAATGCCTATGGTTCATATGTTAGTCTCTTCAATCTCAATGTCAGTATTAGCCTTATAGGTAACAAGAAATTTTATAGATTTTATTTTACATTACTATACTTTTCATATACTTTTAAGAATTTTAATGTTGAAGAATTTAAAAAATATTCCTCCATCCCAACATATGTTTAGAAAAAAGCTGGCTGGGTGCAGTGGCTCACACCTGTAATCACAGCACTTTCGGAGGCGGAGGTGGGATCACTTGAGCCCAGGAGTTCAAGACCAGCTTGGACAACATAGTGACACCTCATCTCTACAAAAAATAAAAAAATTAGCTGGGTGTGGTGGCATGCATGTCTAGTCCCAGCTACTTGGAGTTGATAGGAAGATCACTTGAGCCCAAGGGCTAGAGGCTGTGATGAACCATAATCATGCCACTGCACTTCAGCCTAGGCAACAGAGTAAGCCCTGACTGGAAAAAAAAAAGCTATGTTTATAAGCTGAATGAAGAAAAATAGCAGGTTCGATAATATGGATGATAACTTGTTAAGTGTTGTAAGTACATAAGAGAAAACAAGATACTAAGATTTACTAGAGAAAACATATAGGATTGCCTATTTACAATTATTGAGAAGAATCAAGTTGATACCTTTCATGGCCTCTTCAAAAGAGCAAGGCCTTGCTGGACTAGATATTTCCTTCTTCACATTTACATTCAAAGCACCAGCTGCTGCTATTTAAAAAAAAAAAGATTAATGCATTTATTTACATTTATTCATCCCAATGAAATATGTATCTTAAAATTCTTTAATTGAAACATTTTGTCACAAGCATCATTAAATTATTTATTTAGCAGAAGTTCTAGGTTGAGGTTAATTTTTGTAACGGGCAGTCTATCCTCTAAATTCACCAATCTCCAAGTGGACAGAACATATGATCACTTATCAAAACAAAACCAAAACAGCAATTAAAAAAAAATCCTTCTTGTAAAAGTACACACAGTGATGGTATCAGATGAGTAGAGAATTTATATAATAATATCAAACATTTAAAACTTACCAAATATACTGAAACATTAGCAAGAAAAAAAATTCACCATTCATCTACATAAATAACTTATTTAAAAATACTGATTCAGATGCATTAGCCAATTAATGTTTAAGCTAACTTTAAAAAGTGTAATAAACATACTGAATCTTATTATCATTACTCTTTTTGTAATACCTTGAAAAAATATCTTTGCTAGTATTAAAGGAGAATTGCTGAGCTACCATATCTAATCATATCAATTACATCTACCATGACAATTTTAAATTTAATGAGCCTAAGAAAAAAGGTTGGTTCTAACGATAAAATTAAATAAACTGCAAAAAATAAAATGGGTTATTAGTTCAAATGACTGTATGTTCATTTTACTTAAATACATTTTAATGTTGGAAAGTGGTTCATGCCTGTGAACCTAGGTCTTTGGAAGGTCAAGGCAGGAGGATTGATTGCTCAAAGCCAGGTGCTTAAGACCAGCCTGGGTAACATAGTACAATCCCATCTCTATAAAAAATATAAAAATTAGCCAAGGGTGGTCGTATGTGCCTGTAGTCCTAGCTACTTGGGACGCTGAAACAGAAGGATCACTTGAGCCCAGGAGTTGGAGGCTACAGTGAGCTATGATCACACCAGTGCACTCTAGTCTAGGTGGCAGAGTGAGATCTTATCTCAAAATAAATAAATAAATTTAAATTTCTATTTTAAAACTATTTATTTTATATTAACTAATGTGTCAAATGATAGGATCAAATGATAGTTATAACTAAGTAAAGAGATAAAACTACACATCTAAGAAGAAAAAAATTTTTTTTTGAGTTGAGTCTCTATCTCTGTCGCCCAGGCTGGAGTACAGTGGCACTGTTACAGCTGCTAGGCTCTGCAATCCTTCCACTTCAGCCTTCCAAGTAGCTGGAACTAAAGGCATACACCACCATGGCCAGCTAATTTTTTGATTCGTTGTAGAGATAAGGTCTCGTCAAGTTGCCCAAGCTAGTCTCATACCCCTAAGCTCAGGCAATCCTCTCACCTCCGCCTCTCAAAGTGCTGAGATTATAGGTGTGAGCCACAGTGCCCAGACTAAAAATGACATTAAATAATTTATCTTAGTATGTTGCACAGTAGTTCCAGCAATTGACTTATAGTCAATTGGATGAAGAAGAAATCCACACACAACTTTTTTTTTGGTAGAGTTGAGGGTCTCACTATGTTGCCCAAGCTGACCTTGAACTCCTGGTCTCAAGTATTCCTCATACTTTGGCTTCCCAAAATGCTGGGATTACAGGCATGAGCCACACACCCAGACCTACACACAAGCTTTATGCATGATATTAATTCTAACAATTACAGATTTAAAAGTAGAAATCAATTCTTGAAAAATTTTGTAATTTCTACTTTTTTTTTTTTTTAAGAGACAAGGTCTTGCTCTGTTACCCAGGTTGGAGTGTAGTGGTGCTATCATAACTCACTGTAACCTCAAAGTCCTGGGCTGAAGAGATCCTCTGGTCTCAGCCTCCCAAGTAAATGGGACTACAGGTATGCACCACCATGCCCAGCTAATTTTTAGAAATTTTTTTGTAGAGATGGGATCTCACCATGTTGTCCAACTGATCTTGAAATCCTGGCCTCAAGTGATCCTCCTGCCTCGGCCTCCCAAAGTGCCAGAATTACAGGCCTAAGCTACCGTGCTTAGCCCTGACCCTACTTTGAGACCATGAACAAAGTACCCAGTACTCCAAATTTTCTGTACAGCTATCCTGGGCCTGTTGGGTGGAAAGAGCTTGGAAGCACTGGCTAGGGTATCAAAGTCCTGCAAGTATAGGATAAGCCAGAAGTGGGACAAAAAGGCTGGCAGGCAGGGATCCCCTTGCCTCATGTTGCCATATTCCAGTTTAGTATGTAGCATTTGAAGTGTCTGAAAATTCTAAATTCAAATCTGGATGCCCAGGTTGTTATGAAGGCATTTTAGTCAAAATACAAAGAGAGGAGATATTTTATTTAATGATTTGTTAGTTTTATTTGTGTCTTCTAAATATTTAGATAGATGGTAGTAACAGTCACCATTTTTACTCCAACTTGTGAGTATTAGGGTAGGCCTAGTTTTAACCACTATAATCATATTCTACTGCATATTCAAATATTGACCCATAGTCCCTAAATGAATTACAACAGTTATTAGTTTGTCATACTGAGATAGGGTAATTTTTCTGTTGCCCAAGTTTTCCTGAACTCAAATTCTCTCGCTCAGACACCTGAAAAGATGATCACATTTTATAAAAAAAAAAAAAAAAAAAAAAAAGTCGTGGGAAGATTCTTGAATTAGTAGTATCAAAAAGGCAGAAGCTGAGGCAATAGATCTTATTATATAAAGTGTGCATACAATATATTTATCCAAATGAGATTTTCTAAGAATGATTGCTATCTATGATACATAAAATATGTACGGGGAAAACTTGAAAGAACAAACATATGGTAATGATCATCTAAATATGGCAAAAATTAGGCAATTAGTATGGACTTTAAAGCAGAATATTTAAAAGCTGTTTTATATGGCAAATTATCAAAGGGAAATTTCTAATAATCAGCGTTTATCACTAAGAAATGAGGACTCTTAATGCTGATGCTCAGTACTTCAAAGTTCTGAAGTTCTCTATAATTAATCAATAAAACCAAATAAATAAATGAAAACAAAAAAAAAAACTCAGTATTTTTAGGATAGCAAAAACTTTAAGGCTATTACCTGACAAACACTTCCCTTTTATTCCCATACACCTAATACAGAAGTCCATCAAGAAACAAATTCTTACGTATTAATTATACCATCTTCCTATCCATATTTGTGCAAGCTACTGCAAAATATTAAATATCAATATTTGGTAACAAGCAGTTACTAAAATGCTTTAACTACCATTAACTTAAGTCAAATTGATTTGGATTTTTGAAGACTTCCGAGAAAGAAAACAATCACATACTTGGTCTTTGAGTATAAACCAACCTTATTTCTCCTACTTTTGTTGAAGCTAGGATATTATTTCTAAACTTTGCCCTTTTGGACCAGTTTTTACATATAATCTTTTAATCTGAGACAAATACTGAGAGATACTTCATTAGTCCTATATGTAGCATATCTTTTGTAGCAAACTAGTGGAAATAACCAATGTTGCAACATTAATACATGATTAAAAAGAAAATAGATAAATTAAGAAAAACAGAGAAGGCTTTTTTCTTCCTCAGGCAACTAAATGAATGCAGGCAAGAACTCATGAGACACTACATAGCCAAATATCTTCCAACTTTTAACATTTCAGTTGTTCTTGTTCCTGTGATATCTAAAACCACTTTGTTTTACCTAGCTGCTGAAAATTATATTTAAAATATTTATTTAAAATCAGTTTTTGATTTTTTTTATTTTATTACTTATCACTCCAGGCTTATTTCTTACCTCTTTCAAAATGCACTCTATAAACCAGCCAAACTAAACTGTCAGCAATTTCCCAAAGTTGTCACTTTCACCTTTTGCATTAAGAAGTACTCAACGAATGGTAATTCTTACTTGAGTCACCTGTTAAGACAGCTTCAGAGAGTATGACTTCAGAGCACTCCCAGCTTTTCTTTTACTATTAGAGTATAAGGTAGAAATGATTTCCTTAACGTAAGAGTAAAAGCAGTATTTGCCACCTGTCTTCTTGGGAAATAATGCCCCCTCCAAAAGAAACAAGTATCAATTCATCTAGTGAATAACTTCTTTTTGGTTGGCTGATCATCCTCATATTCTTTCAAAGAACTAGAAATTCATTATTCACTTTATTCAGAATTTTTCATGTTGACATACCTGGGTCTGGAGTGTAAGTAAATGGCTGAACGTCATGAGATCTTCCAGCATTAGTCACTACATATATTCCCACAGATACAGGCAAAGTTATATGTTGGTCATGATAGGGGGGAACCTTCACAATAAGATGATTCTAATTTAAAGAAAAGTAAAAGAGTCAGAAAAGAAGTGACATTTAAGTTAAAAAATTTAATTAACTATATTTCCTGTTAGCTGTAAAGTTTAAAAAGTCTAATTTTTTTTTAAAAATGTATTTTAAAGCTCAGGTTCACAGCATCAGGATATTAATCTAAATGTTTTTAAATGGCTTACAAAGTCCTCACCCTGTCAACTTCAACTTCATTTCATTCCTACTCTCCCTTAGCTCGCTAAATGCCACACTGACCTCAGTCTACTCTTTCAACATACTAAACTTGATTTTACCTCGGAGTCTCTACACTTCTTGTTCTCTCCAGTTATAATATTCTTCCTTCATTTCCTCAAATGGTGAGTTCCTTACCCATTTTCAGGTTTCATACAAATCATCTTAGAAATTTTTTTTTTTTTTTTTTTAGTTGGAGTCTCACTCTGTCGCCCAGGCTGGAGTGCAGTGGCCGCTCCCGGCCACCGCAGCCTCGACCTGCTGGGCTCCGGCGATCCTTCCGCCTCAGCCTTACGAGTAGCCGGAATTATAGGCGCACGCTACCATGCCCGGCTGATTTTTTGATTTATTGTAGAGATGAGGTCTTGCTGCCCAGGCGGGTCTCGAACCCGCGGACTCAGGCAATCCACTCACCTCAGCCTCCCAAAGGCGCGGGATTACAGGCTGAGCCACCGAGCCCGGCTTCATCTTAGAAATTATACAGGTCACCTCAGAGAAGTCTTCCTGATCATCCTATTTAAAGTAGTACCCCTCCCCAACCTGACTACATAATCTTGTTTATTTCTATAACAGCACTTATTACCACCCAAAATTACCCTGATTTTTTTGTTTGTTTTTGGTCTTTCCAACCACAAGAATTAAGCTCTGTGAGGATCTAGGCTATTCTGTTCTTCACTCTTACATAAAACACACTCCACTATATTAGCTACATAAGAAATGAATAAATTATGAGGGAAAAATATGTCCACCAAGCACAAAGTCAGTTACCATATGTTCTGTGTAACCTCAGTGTGAGATGTACTTCATAATGCAGTTTACTACTTCCTAACCATTTAATTGTCATTAAAGTCAAATAGGGTTCAGTTTATCCAAATCTTAGTAGATTAAAGATGTTTTTAGTCTGAAAAGTAGCAGAAGCATCCTTATAAGAAAAGAGTAGGGTTCATAAATGTTTCACCAGTACTTACTTAAGGGGACTATATGATCTCAGAAAATAATGTGAACCATATTTGACATTCTTTTCTTTTTCCCTAGCAAATTATAGTAATGGCACAGAACATTGGTGGTAGAGATTAGTGATTATGCTTTTTTACTAATGATCTGATATGCAGAAGGCCAAAGCTGACAGCTGAGGGTGTAGTGAGTTTGATGGCATTTTAAATTTAGTTAGATAGACTACAATTGGTTGATCAGTTGAATGGAACATGGGACAAATGAGATCAAGGCTAAGGTTTCAATATATGAGCACTTAATTTGTTTCTCAGTCATCTTTTTTTTGTTGTTGAGTTGGAATCTCACTCTGTCACCTAGACTGGAGTGCAGTGGCCGCTCCTGGCCACCGCAGCCTCGACCTGCTGGGCTCCGGCAATCCTTCCGCCTCAGCCTTCCAAGTAGCTGGAACTACAGGCACATGCTACCACGCCTGGCTAATTTTTTATTTTTATTGTAGAGTTGAGGTCTCGCCAAGTTGCCCAGGCGGGTCTCAAACCTGTGGGCTCGGCCAATCCACTCACCTCAGCCTCCCAAAGCGTGGGATTACAGGCTGAGCCACCGTGCCTGGCTTCTCAGTCATCTTAAAACACTCGGAAATGAAGTAACATTATAAATAAAGAACTAGCTTCTAATTCATGGCACTAACAGAATGCCTTCTAAGTCACCCATCTCAAAAAAGCCCACAAACTTTTAAACCAGGTGAAAAAACATGTACAAATTACGTACATCCACAGTTACTGGGGGTAGGGAGGATCTGAAAGCACACAAGGTCATCAAAAACACAGTGGCATTGATTCAACTTCTAAGAAAAACTAATTTGAATTGTGTCTACCTTCTTTTTTTTTTTTTTTTTGAGTCAGAGTCTTACTCTGTCACCCAGTCTGGAGTGCAGTGGCACACTCACAGCCACCGCAGCCTCAAACTGCTGGGCTAAAGGTGATCCTTCCACCTCAGCCTTTCAAGTAATTGGAACTACAGGCATGTGCCACCATGCATGGCTAATTTTTTGATTTATTGTAGAGATGAGGTCTTGCCAAGTTGCCCAGGCTGGTCTCCAACCCCTGGACACAGGCAATCCTCTTGCCTCAGCCTCCCAAAGTGCTGGGATTACATGCGTGAGCCACTGCACCCAGCTATCCTCATTTTCACTCTACTGTTTAAGCACTACAACTATGTCACAGAAGTAGTCTACCTAGAGTTAAGAAGATGGTTGAATGAATAGCTTGGAAGTATCCTTCCATGCTTAAAATCATTTGGCAAACTTTATCATTGAAATTATTCTTCTAAATAAAAACTTGTTTCTTGGTAAATAGTAACAGGATTAATATCTAAAAATCAGATGCATATTCTATCAAATTGCTTTTACTCTGTTTGCTTTGGAGGGCATATTTAAGAAAAACTATTTGAAACCTTTTTTTTTTTGAGTTGGAGTCTCACTTTTGTCACCCAGGCTAGAGTGCAGTGGCACATTCATGGCCAGAGCAGCTTTGACCTGCTGGACTTAGGTGATTCTTCCGCCTCAGCCTTCCAAGTAGCTGGAACTACAGATGCAGGCCACCATGTCCGGCTAGTTTTTGTGATTTATTGTAGAGACAAGGTCTCACCAAGTTGCCCAGGCTGGTCTCGAACTCCTGAGCTCAGACAATCCTCTCGCCTCAGCCTCCCAAAGTGCTGGGATTACAGGCTTTAGCCATTGCGCCTGGGCCTGAAACCTTTTAAAAACGAGATGAACCTATTTTGCTACTAATTATTCTTTATACTTCCTCAATTTGAGTCTATAAATCTTACAATTGATTTGAATTTAAAACTAGGTCAATTTTTAAATTTTTATTTATTTATTTATTTTTGAGTCAGAGTCTTACTCTGTTGCCCAGGCTGGAATACAGTGGCACACTCATGGCCACCACAGCCTTGAACTACTGGGCTCAGGTGATATGTCTGCCTAAGCCTTCTAAGTTGGAACCACAGGCATGCGCCACCATGCCAAGCTAATTTTTTGATTTACTGTAGAGACGAGGTCTTGCCATGTTGCTCAGGCTGGTCTTGAACCCCTGAGCTCAGGCAGTCCTCTCGCCTCAGCTTCCCAAAGTGCTGGGATTACAGGCTTGAGCGACCATGCCCAGCTATTTTTATGTTTTTTAAATGGAGATGAGGTCTTGCTATGTTGCCCAGACTGGTCGCAAACTCCTGAGGTCAAGCAACCCTCCCATCCCAGCCCCCTAAAGTGCTGGAATTACAGGCATGAGCCACTACACTGGGCCAAAAAACTAGGTAAATTGTCAATAGTGATCAAAGTTGTTTTATATACTTCTCTTTCAAATTAAGATCAATTAACTACCACTGAGCTGAAATATAAGACATACAAAGGGTTGGAAGGTGAGTAGGGGCAAAAAGAGTAGTTGAATCCTAATTTCTTAGAAAAATCTGCTTGGATTCAAAATAACTATTTTTTTCCCTAGCAGATAATCTTTTTCAGAGTATACAAGCAACAGTGCTAGATAGTTTTCATTTTCCTATAATTTATCATTGCCACATTCACATTTTACAGCTGGGAACGTGTAGAGTTGAGCAAAAGCACATTACAAAATTACTGTTAGAACCAATTTGAAAACACACAACCTCTAAACTCGTCTTTGTTTAGTTTAGTTGTTCACACAAACTCTGCTGAGGATCTTTTTTCTATTTCTTTCTTTTTTTTTTTTTTTGAGTTGGAGTCTCACTCTGTTGCCCAGACTGGAGTGCAGTGGCCGCTCCTGGCCACCGCAGCCTTGATCTGCTGGGTTCTGGCGAGTCTTCCGCCTCAGCCTTCCAAGTAGCTGGAACTACAGGTGTGCGCTACCATGCCCGGCTAATTTTTGATTTATTGTGGAGATGAGGTCTCAGCAAGCTGTCCAGGCGGGTCTTGAACCCACGGGCGCAGGCAATCCACTCACCTCAGCCTCCCAAAGCGCGGAATTACAGGCTGAGCCACCGAGCCCAGCTTCTATTTATTTCAAGAATTTTCTTTCCATATTTATACTATCTTTCCCTAAACTATACTTTTATATATATATGTGTACATATGTATGTAGAACCTTTTTTTTTTGAGACAGGGTCTCACTCTGTTGTCACTCAGGCTAGAGTGCAGTAGCACAATCATGGCTCACTGAAGCCTTGACCTCCTAAACTCCTCTTGCCTCAGCCTCCTGAGTAGTTGGGACAGGAGTATGCCACCACACCTGGTTAATTTTTTAAAAAATTTTTAAAGAGATGAGGTCTCACTATCTTGCCCAACCAGGCAGGTCTTGAATTTCTGGGCTTAATCAATCCTTCTGCCTTGGCCTCCCAAAGTGCTGGTATTACAGGCATAAGTCACTGCACCCAGCCCGGTATATCCTTTAATATATATATACACACACGTTTGTATACATACACAATGAGTGTATATATATATATATATATATATATATATATATATATATATATATATGCATATCCTTTTATATATATTTTAATACACAACTGTTATATATAACTCATTTAAAGTTGTTAAAAGGGAGTAGGAGTAATGATCATGTCCTCATCATATTTGATATACATGAGCATGAGCTATATTATGACCTTGACTAGAAGAGCTAAATACTAAACAAAGAACTACTTTCTCAGACTTCATTAATCTCAGTATTCATATAAATATTAAAACTTTAGTAGGTGATGAATTGATTTTGGGTTTGCAAATGAATGGCTATTATAACTCTTCATAATTGCAATTTGTAAAATTATCATTGATGGTTTTTCTACTATATTAACTTCTAAGTATTTTTAAATACAGCAGATGCCCTTTCAACTTTTCTGTGTAGGTCTGATCATTCTTTATTGCCCATATCTTAAGTTTTTTTCCTTCAATGCATTTTCTTTACTCCAAATGTTTAATTTGTTTTTTTTCTTTAATATAATCTCTAGAATCAATTCTCTAGGATCTCATCTCTCATTATATTCTAAGAAAACACTTCCCAGAAAGCACCTTAGGAAAAAAAAATCAATAAAAGCTTTCTCTGGAAAAAGTAAAAATTTTAAAATGAACAAAACCACAGGATTAATGACAGATCACATTATGATTTAGTTTGTTTACATACTTGCTTGCAAAAACCCCAGGACCTCTAGATATAGCCACCAAATAAGGACATAATTCCTTTCCATTCCACCACATGTCTTATTTTTATGATTATTCTTCTTTAATCTATTGTAGCTGGCATAACTGCCCTGAAAAAAAGTGTTTTAAAAATATAACTACCCCATGCCTTGAAGGGAGAAAAAAAGAGAAAGAAGGAGGGGAAAGAGGGAGGATGACTTGTAGATAAAGTTTTATATGAAACAGCAAGTTAAGACTATAATTTATTGGGGTTATTTCATTAATATTTTGCATAATTTGTAAGGTAAGTCTCTCAGTCTTCAGGACTAGTCTCCATAAGAATAACATCACAATAATACAGCATCACAAATCTAACCAATTTGTCAAAAAAAAACAAAACATGTTCATGGCATACAGAAGTACATACATATGAGTATATTAATTTTTAGTCAGGATTAAAGTTCTAGGTATAGAAGAATGCTGAAATTAGGGCTTGATGTACCCTAAAAAGAACAAACAGATCTTAGACCTCTTTTTCTTCAAGGTGAATAAAATGAACTAACAAGTTTTTCTTGAGTATCTATTAAAGTGTTTGGTATTATAAGGAACACGAAAGAGTCAAAACACATTGTCCCTAATCTCCAGAGGAAGCTACTGTTGGTTCATGGGGAGTAGGGATGATCTGACCAAGTTATATAAGAAATAAAAAAATGAGCCGGGCTCGGTGGCTCAGCCTGTAATCCCGCGCCTTTGGGAGGCTGAGGTGAGTGGATTGCCTGAGCCTGCAGGTTCAAGACCCACCTGGGCAGGCGAGACCTCATCTCTACAATAAAATTTTAAAAAATTAGCCAGGCGGGGTAGTGTGCGCCTGTAGTTCCAGCTACTCGGAAGGCTGAGGCGGAAGGATCGCCAGAGCCCAGCAGGTCGAGGCTGCGGTGGGCGGGAGTGGCCACTGCACTCCAGTCTGGGCGACAGAGTGAGACTCCAACTCAAAAAAAAATAAAATAAAATAAAGAAATAAAAAAATATCAGAGTTAGAAGGAACCTCAAATAATTTAATGAAAGATCTTATGTTACAGATCAGAAAACTGGGGTACAAAAGTGACTTGTCTCACAGATTGTTAATGACAAAGCAGGTACTAGAATTTCAGTTAAGACAAGTCTGGCAATGAACCCTAGGAGATACTGTCCAATAATATACATGACAAAGGAATGGCTGTTCAGTCCCCCTATGTCTTTTCCACAGCACAGCATGTATTAGCATAAGACTAGAGGAAAATTTTCTACATAGCATTTGTCTAGGTATGCAGGAAGCTCCACTTTATAGGATATTGTGTAGTAAAGAATTAAATTTGCCCAAAGACAGGTCTAGTCTGTGCCTTTGGTTATTGGGAGGTGATCTCTAGACCCTTGCAATATTCTGTCTGATAGGATCATCTTTGTTCTGGGGTTTTGATTACTGGCCAGTCTAACATGTGATTTATCACGAGGGGTTTAAACATGTATTCGTTCTCATCTCTGATTGAAGTGAAGATGAAAGGTCAGCTGCATGGGCAGTACATGATTAAATCTGAATAAAAACTCCGGACACCAAAGGCTTGGGTGAGCTTTTCTGGTTGGCAATTCTCTGTGTATTGTCACACACTGATATGCCAAAAGGGTACTGTGTCTCTGTGGATGACAGAAGTTTGGTATTTGGGATACTCCTAGATCTGACTCTATGAATCTCTCCCTTTATCTGGTTCTGATTTGTATCCCTTTGTTGTAATAAAACTGTAATCATAGGTATAGCACTTCCTAGAGTTCTGTGAATTGTTCTAGCAAGTTATCAAATCCGAGGGGATAGTGGGAAAACCTGAATTTGAGCCAGCTGTTCAAAAGAGAGGGTGGTCTGGGGACCTCTGAACTTGTGACTGGTATATGAAGTGTGGGCAGTCTCAGTGTGCCCTTAGTTTTAATGTGGCAATATATTGGATACATGATGTTTTCAATTTTATTAGTGTTTTTAATACACAAAGGAATAAAAAAATAAGTTAAAAAACTATAACAAAGGAGGCTGGGTGCGGCGGCTCACACCTATAATCCCAGCACTTTGGGAGGCTGAGGTGAGAGGATTGCCTGAGCCCTCGGGTTTGAGACCAGCCTGAGCAACTTGGCAAGACCTCACCTCTACAATAAATCAAAAAATTAGCCAGGCATGGTGGCGCATGCCTGGAGTCCCTGCTACTTGGGAGGCTGAGGTGGAAGGTTTGCCTGAGCCCAGCAGGTAGAGGTTGCAGTGGTTGGGAGCGTGCCAGTGCCCTCTAGCCGGGGTAAGAGTGAGACTCCAACTCAAAAAAACCAAAACAAAACCACAAAGGAATTATACATTTTTTGGATAAAATGGCTAGGTTCTCCAATTTTTGCTTCTTTTATTTCTCTACTTGCTTTCATGTGCTCTTTTCTATTTCCAATAGCTCCTTATGCTGAATTTTAGGCTTTGGGTATTTTACACATTAGCTTGCTCTTCTTTCTGTTTGCTCTGTCTCTCTGTATCTCTCTTTGTATCTCATTTAAAATTTCTGCTACTTTTTTGTATGTGTCTTTTATCTAACTTTTCTTCTGTTAGCCTCAATTTCTATGGGTTTGGTCCTATCTGCTTCGCATACTAATTCTTAAGTCAGGACTTGATCCTCGTTTTCAAGTTCTTTTTCCTCACTATTTTGAAAATAATACATGGTGAAGTCCTATAAATACAGACTCTTTAATATAGGTGTGATGAGTGCTTTTAAATGCAAGAAGGGTCCCGTGCTTTGGGAGGCTGAGGTGAGTGGATTGCCTGAGCCCGCGGGTTTGAGACCCGCCTGGGAAACTTGGCGAGATCTCATCTCTACAATAAATCAAAAAATTAGCCGGGCGTGGTAGCGCAAGCCTGTAGTTACAGCTACTTGGAAGGCTGAGGTGGAAGGATTGCTGGAGCCCAGCAGGTCAAGGCTGCGGTGGCCGGGAGCGTGCCACTGCACTCCAGTCTGGATGACAGAGTGAGACTCCAACTCAAAAAAAATAAGGAAGTAAATAAATAAATGCAAGATGGGAACATTAACAAACATAAAACACCTGGCACACAGCAGGTACTCATTAATATCAGGTTCCCTTTGATTAACTATAGAGGAGGTTAAGATAATCCAAATCCTCAGCCTCAGAGAGAATATTAGGAAGGAATTGTTTTATTTCTTAACAATGGTAACGTTTACTAATGCTCTTAACTTTAAAATAGAGAACTGGTCATGTCTAATAATAGTGGAATAATTCTATTTCAGTTCAAGAAACTCAAGAAAGAAATTTCAAATGATCCATAACAATCTCATATGAAGAGCAAATTTAATCTATTGATCCAGAAAAATTTCAAAACAAGACTGAATTCCTCAGAGCGTAAACAACCAAATTATAAAAGGGCTTAAATTATACCTGATGAAATAGTTCCATGTCGATTTCAGCTTCTGACTTCCAGGAGTTTTCATCTGAATGAAATAAAAAGAGTGACATACTGAACTTCTGAACTTTTTTTTACTCTGTAGCTATGACTGTATCAATGTAACAAAGTGAAACATGCAACAATCTCTGTACTAATTTGCCTACTTACCAGAAACATTTTCTTGGAAGATAACTTTAGTTCCTTTCAGAAAGTTTTTGCCAATTAAAAACACTTCTTCCTCTCCTTTCACCGAACAGCAATGCAAGCTTTTCTTTAAGATTTCTGGCACTCCTGCTGGCTGAGCTGTGGGTATACATAAGCATTCCATAAAAAGAACTACCAACACTTAGTTCTTACCTAAAATCAACTTGCAATTACCCAGTGTTGAAGGAAGGGCGGTGAATATTTTGACAATACCACAATTATTTGGAAAGGCTATAACTCTTGCCCCACCGACATCAGGCTTGGCTATGTGACTGGTTTGGATGAAATGTGAACTGAACTAACATGCCAAGTTCAAGCAAAAGCTTTAAAAGACTTCACATGGTTCTACCACCTCTGTTGTTAAAAGTCACTGAGATTTTTGTTTGTTTGTTTTTGTTGGTTGTTACTGCATTATTTAGCCTCTGCTTATTGATACAAATAAGTATCCTATCTTCATTAAATACAGGTTGAGTATCCTTAATTCAAAAACCTGAAATAGGCCGGGCTTGGTGGCTCAGCCTGTAATCCCAGCACTTTGGAGGTCGAGGTGAGTGGATTGCCTGAGCCCATGGGTTCAAGACCCACCTGGGCAACTTGGTGAGACCTTGCCTCTACAATAAATCAAAAAATTAGCTGGGCATGGTAGCGCACACCTGTAGTTTTGGCTACTCAGAGGGCTGAGGCGGAAGGATCACTAGAGCCTAGCAGGTCAAGGTTGTGGTGGCTGGGAGCGTGCCACTGCACTCTGGACGACAGAGTGAGACTCCAACTCAAAAAACAAACAAACAAACAAACAAAAAAACCTGAAATACAAAATGTCCCAATATAGAAAGAAATTTTTTGAGTGCCAATATAATGCTCAAAAATTCCACAACTGAAACATTATTTTTTCACTGTATTTAATGATATGCCATACTTGTATATTTTACTGTTAAGTACTTATGTGGAAAAGTATAAGTAAATTATTATTTATCAGCCAGGCTTGGTGGCTCAGCCTGTAATCCTGTGCCTTGGGAGGCTGAGGTGAGTGGATTGCCTGAGCCCGTGGGTTCGAGACCCGCCTGGGCAACTTGGTGAGACCTCATCTCTACAATAAATCAAAAAACTAGCCTGGCATGGTAGCGTGTGCCTGTAGTTCCAGCTACTTGGAAGGTTGAGGCGGAAGGATCGCTGGAGCCCAGCAGGTGGAGGCTGCGGTGGCCGGGAGCGGCCACTGCACTCCAGTATGGGCGACAGAGTGAGATTCCGACTCAAAAAAAAAAAAAAAAAAAAAAAAAAAAAAAGGGACAAGATCTCCCTATGTTGTCAGGGCTGATCTCCAACTCCTGGGCTCAAGTGATCCTCCTGCTTTAGTCACTCAAAGTGTTTGCAAATACAGACATGATCTCAGCTGACATCTTTGCTTTCTAGTGGTTCGATGTACTCAAGCTTTGTTTCATGCACAAAATTATTTAAAATATTGCATAAAATTACCTTAATATGTGTGTATAAGGTGTATATGAAACACAAATAAATTCTGTGTTTAGACTTGGGTCGCATTCCCAAGACATCTCATTATGCATATGCAAATATTCCAAAATCCCAAAAAATCCAAAATCTGAAATACTTCGTCCTAAGTATTCAGATAAGGGATTTTCAACCTGTATTTAAATGACAAATGACATTTTCAACAATGTCTAGGCGTTTAAAAGAAATTGTGAATGTATATACAAATACACTGTATAGAACCCACAGGGTTAATGTGTGAACAGAATGGAAAGGGTTGGTCACACACTGGCAATTATATACTGTTTCAAATGCAGAATTAACTAAACCAGCTTATTTAAAGGTAAAATTTTGGAGTAACATAGGAACTAGATATTTGTTTTTAAAAGTCAGTCACAAAAAATATGGTAAATGTAGTTTTGATTAGAAAATAATAAAAGGTATGAAATTATATGAATATATTATATTGACAAAATAAAATGTTAAGTCTATAACCTTTCCCCCATTTTCAAATATTATGTGGAAATTCCACTTCACTGATTACCGTTAAAACTTTTTTCCCTACCTCATTTTTTCTTTTTATGTATTAAAGACATAATATGGCCAAATGAAGCCTAGGAGATTTAAAATAAATTATCTTTTGATATTTGTATATACATTACAGAAAGAATAGTCTGTTACTTTCAAAAGAATTTACCATTTACCTTCGATCTTTTAAAAGTTCCTTTCTATTAAAAAGTTTAATGGTTACCTAACAGGAGAGACTCCACACTAAACAGAACTAAACTCAGGATTATTTAAGCATTAACTGTTTTATTTTTGTATTTAAGTGATTTGTAATCTGACTCTTGAAATGGATCACATTGTTTAAGAATTATAACACAACTAGGCACAGTGGTTCACGCCTGTAATCCCAGCAGGCGGAGACAGAGGTGAGCAGATTGCCTGAGCTCAGGAGTTTGAGACCAACCTGGGAAAAATGGCGAGACCTTGTCTCTACAATAAACCAAAAAATTAGCCAGGCATGGTGGTGCACACCTGTGGCTCCAGCTACTTGGAAGGCTGAGGTGGAAGGATCACCTGAGCCCAGCAGGTCGAGGCTGTGGTGGCTGTGAGCGTGCCACTGTACTCTAGCCAGGACAACAGAGTGAGAATCTGACTCAAAAAAAAAGAATTATAACACACAAAAAGCAACCTTCTATAATATCTTTTTGGTATTATAAAAATAGCGTTTTTAGATGCTTTTCAAATAGCAGCCTTAAAAATAAAAAAATTGAAAAAAGTAATGAATATCTGAATGCTGAAAAATAAGCAAATATTTCAATCTGTCAAGATAATAAAGCTCTTAATAATATCTGTGAGAAGCACATACTTAATAGAAAAATTTTAGAAGAAAAAGCCTACATTACTAAATGTGTCCAAAATTTTAAGAGAGGGATAATTTACTTGATGACATTATCCATTTCCCACAACTGTGGGATAGGTAGAAATAAGGGAAGTAGAAAATTCTTAAATTCAGAATAAGATTTAATTTAATAAGCATAAAATAAAATCTTATATATTATATATAAGAACGCTATGACTAATTTTGTCCTTTTAAAATTTACTATAGAAGAATACATATGAAAATTGGTATTCTTTTTTTTTTTTAAGAGACAGGGTCTTGCTATGTTTTTTTTTTTTTTTTTGAGTCGGAGTCTCACTCTGTTGCCCAGACTGGAGTGCAGTGGCCGCTCCCGGCCACCGCAGCCTCATCCTGCTGGGCTCTGGCGATCCTTCCACCTCAGCCTTCCAAGTAGCTAGAATTACAGGCATGCGCCACCACGCCCGGCTGATTTTTTGATTTATTGTAGAGATGAGGTCTCGCTGCCCAGTCGAGTCTCGAACCCGCAGGCTCAGGCAATCCACTCTCCTCAGCCTCCCAAAGGCGCGGGATTACAGGCTGAGCCACTGAGCCCGGTTGGGTCTTGCTATGTTGTTCAGGTTGGATTCAAACTCCTGAGCTCAAGCAATTCTCCTGCCTCAGCCTTCCAAGCAGCTGGAACTACGTGTACATGCCACTGTGCCCAGCTGAAAATTGGTATTCTTAATTTGATATAAAATAGCAAAATAATATAAGCATATATACCCAAACAAAAAACATATATACCTATATTATCTGGAGAATCTAAAGGTATTATGAATATAAAAGGGGATGATTTTTCCATCCCCTTAAAAACAAACAAAAAGACAAAGGATTCAATGGCCATTGTTAAGCTAACAATTAGAAGTCCCAATTTTTTTTAAGCCACAAAGCACAGCATGAATGCTGGCATGTGGCCTTCTTTCTCTGAGTGTCAATAGATGGAAGATGACATATCTGTTTCCTCTCCTCCTTTCCACTTCTATCACCTTTTGGACCCTCCTTCCTTTTCTACTTCTCTCTCAACAACCTGTTTCCTCTATCTCCCTTTCCAATCCCAACCCTTCCCACTAACCTATTTCCTTTTTACCTTTCATTCTACTCTTATACCTGCCAAAACTTTTATATTCATGGAATTAAATGCAAGCCAGCAATTTATAATGGAACAAGCACTGTTATTTTTAAATTTTCAAATAAAAAGATCTTTTGAGTCCTTTGTTTCATGGTATATTATTTGTATGTTTACTTCTCTTCTTCTCCCATACTCACCCCCTCAAAGTCTAAGTTCAAGTCTCAAGTTCCCTAAAGTGGTTAGGATAGAATTCAAATTCTTTTGCTCAACACACAAGTCTGTTTATGAAAGATATGCTTTCTAGCTCTCTACCTCAAATCTTACCACTTCTTTATGTATAAGTTTTTGTCCCAATCACATCTTAATTCCCCTAAAAGAATCATATACTCTTTCAGGAAGTATATTTGTACCCTGATCCCTTTGCCCAGGAGGACCTTCTTTGAAACTCTATTGTGCTCGTCTTACTTCTATTTGTTAAGACAACACAAATTATATCATCTCCAAGCAGTCTGAATTAGATGCTCTTCTATGTTTCCACGGTACTTTATTCATACATCTACTATAAATATGTAGTATTTTAATATAATTTTTATAATAAATTGGAGTTTATATAATTTTATATACATATGGAAGAGAGAGATATATATATATATACACAACACATATGGAAGTTAATATAATTTTATAACAAAATTGGAAGTTTATGTTTTCCCCTAGCTTGCTAACCTGTAAGCTCCTTAAACCATCATCTCTTTATTTCCAGAGTTTGGCACACTGTAAGTATCTATTAAAATAACTATGAAGCTTTCCAAAGACAGATATGCTTAAGATCCACCTTTGGAGATTCTGATTAATTGGCATATCTTCCCCCTCCCTCCAAATACCCCACAGGTGACTCTAACCTACACCCAGGATTGAGAACTACTGCATTTAATTTATGTTGAATAAATGAATGATTGAATGAGAAATGAGGCTCTATTTTGTTATTAGAATATAACACTTTCTCTGAACTAAACTGTAGCCTCCAATAACTGCAACTTATTACAAAAAAAGGTCATCTGAATAATTTGGCTGCCTAAACCCATGAATATAAAAATTTTCAGTACTATATCATACACACACACACACACACACACACAC